GCACACGTGTGCCCGCCACACGGAGCTCGAGAACTTTCTCCCCGGCCTCGCCAGGCCCGGCCTCGCTGCCCTTCCAGACGCCCCTTCCGCAGTTGACCTCCCCTCCCCCGGCTCAGGGAGAAGGCTGCCCCGCCGGGTCGCCCTGACAGTCTCTTCGGAGGCCGGCGAACCTGCCCGAACCCCGCCAGAGGGATCGAGCCGGGGTTCGCACCCCCCCCCCGGCGGGAGCGCCCCGGACCGAGTCGGGCCCGGGCTCCGCGCCGGGAGAGGCGGCCGGCTGGGCTCCGAGGAGCTCGTCCCGAGGCAGCTGGCGGCTCCGGGCTCGCGAGGCTGCGGGTGGGGTCCTCCTCCCCCAGCCGGGAAGGGGGCGATTGATCCATCTGCCCGTGGGCCGGGCTCACCGGCGTGTTTTAGTCAACGGAATTTACAGTAAACGCCCAGAAGGACCAAAAAGGAAGCGTCTGGCTGGGAAGGGGCTGGAGGAGAGGTGAGACTGCTGACACGTTCCGGCAGGATGGGAGAGGCGGCGGGCCTGCGGGCGCGGAGGGCACACGCCCACGCACGCCGACCACCCGAGCTCCGCGCTCCCTCCTGACACGTCCCCAGCTGCGCTGGAGCTGCCGGGCAGCTCTAGGCTCTCGCGCGCACATCCCTGGCAGGCAGTTCCCAAGCGCGCACACACGTTGTGCCGGGGTGGGGTACGCGCAGCTCCTGGTAAACTTTCCCCGCTGCCCAAAACCGGATCTGGGCTGCATCTAAGGGGTAGCTGGCAGTGCCTTTTAAGATGCATTTTAAAATAAGACCCTAGAATACAGCAAACGCTCGAGATTGACTTGGACGCGAGGGGAGGTGTCACTCACAAACCGGCAGCAGCCGTAGCTACTGGGAAAGCTAGAGGGAGCAACTTCCATCTTGCGGATTTAGGCGGGAACGCGGCTCGGAAGTGCAGAGTGCAGCTCTCCTCCAAATGCTTCTATCATCTGGCCCATCCTGGGGCACAGAACGACCTCCCACCATACTCTGCCTCAGCCTGAGAGTGGTGCTGCTTGCTAGAGCGGCGGCTCCAGCTGGGTAGTGGAGATCGAGAGGGCCTGCACACACCAGCTGGGTAAAGCCCCCTTCAGGCCTGCCCTTCCTGCCATTCCTCTTGGGGCCTCTCCTATCCTCGGAAATGGCTTCACATCTGACAGTGTGACATCGCCTGGTTTGTTGTTGCTACTGGTTTGTTATTTTTTAAAAAATGAGGAACTTAACGGAGTAGGCTTCAGACAAGTGTAGGTTAAAAGATGAAAACCGATAGGAATTTATATACGGCCAGGGTGTCTTGGGCTGGAGGCCAGAGGCTGGGATCCTGGCCTAAGTAACTTTCTCCTCTCCTTTCCTATCTCCAGGGTCTTCTGATGGTCCAGATTCTCCCCGCCACCACCTATTTTGGTATCACAGGAGGCCTTCCCTCTTCCAAGGACCCCACTCCAGATTCCAGAATTACCGCTCAGTACATCCCTCTCCCCTCCTACACCAAAAACTTGTTTTCACTTTCTTTTAACCCTCAGCTGAGCATAGGGAGTAAAAGGCTCCGGATCATATATAAGAACTTTGCCCTCCCCCACCCCACATCCAGGGAAGGGGTGTGTTAGAACAGCAATGAACTCCCAGGGATAGCTGAGTTCCCATGGGAGGGGAGGAGATTCTGGTAGCAGGAGGTGAGTGGCTGAGACCCTCAGGACAAGGCAGTGCCCTTCAGACCCTCAGGACAAGGCAGCCATCACTAGGACAGTAATAACACCCACCATCACCAAGGTTCAGCCTGCTGTGGTTTCGGGCACTCTGACCCTGAATCCTCTCTTCTTTCCTTTCTATACGGACGTCTCCCACTACACCCCAACTCTCTGCTAGCATCCCCAATGCTCAACCTGAGTGACTCTTAGAAGCGGCGTCACCCATGCGTCACACCGTTATTTCCCGAGTGTCTTCTATGTGCAAGGATCCCTTTGTGCCAGGATCTGCAGAGGAAACGCAGATGAACGTGTACCAGTGAAGAGCAACTTAATCTCTGATCCTCAGTTATCTCGTCTATACAATGGGGATTTTGAGAAAAACCGACTTGAGAGAAATGAGATACTATAGGGAGAGCAGCTTGTAAAATGCCTGGCTTATAGAAAAGTGTTCACCTCTCTCCTCTGGGATCCAGAAGAGCAATCGGGGGCCTATGACAAAGCAATAAAACCTATGTGGCAAATGAGAATAAGAAGCAGAGATTAAAAGGCTATGAGATTAAGGGAAGCAGAGACTACTTTCTAGAGGCTAAATAATAGGAACAGACCTTTTCAGAGGAAGTAATGGGGAAAGGGGAAGTCTCCCAGCAGGTGCAGACAACGCCCCTAGGCTCACTGTTACGCTTGCACACACCACAGGTACCTGTGTCCTTTGTACACCGTTCCTGGCCAGCCCAGCTGCTCCTGAGTTCACAGGCAGATGTGCCTCCCGCCCACACAGACAGCACCTCTCCATCAAAGACCCTGGAGTCATCATGTGCAGGGAGAGGGAAAGGGAATCCTGAGGCCATTAACGCTGTCCCTTTCTCTCATCTCTCTAGTCCTCCTTGTCTTGTGGAGTAGATTCTCTGGAGGCAGAGGAGCAGAGAAGCAGGAGAGGGAAGAAGGAGCAGCAGAGGGGAGAGGGTGGCAGTCCCACCCCAACACACAGGCCTGTGCACCCAGGCCTTGGCCACGCTGCTCAAGGACCACAAATGCGTGCCCTTCTTTCCTCTGGTGGCGGGAAGGCTGAGGGTTCCCATACATTAAAAAAAGAAAATGTCTAGCATCCAGCAAAGACCTGTCAGGAGCCGCAGATCTGACAAGGCGGAAGCGCCTAGGGCCATGGGACAGCAGCCTAATCCAGGGCACCCCACAATCGATCAACCAGCACAAACTTATTGAACGCCTTCTCTGTCCCCAGCACAATGCCGAAGGCTGTGGGGAATATGGCGGGACTGGCCCTGCCGTGGACACATTGATAGATAGAGTTATTCATGTACCCACGAGAAGAGAGTGAACGACCCAAAGACACGCCAGGACCCAATAGAAAAAGAAAGAGTCGGTACCACTGGATTTCTGGAGTGCACTTGGAGAAGACTTGCCAGGGGAGATGAGATCCAAGCTAAAGATGGAAGGACGGGTAGAATTTAGCTGAGCACAAAAGAGGACGCTCCGGTCAAGTGAACAGGAGAAGCGAGAGCACAGTGGTACGAGGGATGTTAGGAGCAGTCCGACAGTTGGCGGGAACGAAGGGCACAGGTCAAAGGTGCCTGGCAGGAGAAGTTCTGGAAGGTCCCCTTGGGATGTCCAGTTGAGGGCCAAGCATTGCAGGCTTCGGACTTGCACGCCAGGAACCACGGAATGTTTTTGAGCAGGCAAGTGACATGATGAGAATGGTGCTTTAGGAAGCTTGATCTGACAACTGTATGAAGGATGGAGACCAGAGACCAATTAGGAGGCGATTGTAACCGTTTCAGCCTGAGGTTAATGAGGGCCCAGAACAGGAGGTGGTGGTGGGCGTGGACAGGCCGAGACCGTTGTCAAAGCCATTGTAAAGATGAATCAGCATGATGTAGGTGGCGGATGGCGCACAGAAGAGTGGCCAGGCCTGGACAAAGTGACCAGCCTAACTGCTCAGGCTTTGTCACTGGAAGAAGTAACTAAAGTAGCCAACTCTATGGCAAGATACATGTTAATACGCCTTTAAATCTTACAATAACCCCATGGCCTCAGTACTATGATTAGCCCCATTTTACAAATGAGAAAAAGCAGAGGTAAGAGGAGAGATTTAACTTGCCTGAGGTCATATTTTAAGTAGCAGAATCAGGATTTGAACTCAGGCAGTCGAGATCCAGCTTCCCACATTGGTGAGTTCTGCACCTTGTGTAAATAAGAAAGGTGGTAGCTCTGCAGGCCTGTGCACCTTCACGTCCCCATCAGAACAACTGAGATACTCCTGTTCTCCCTGTCCAGCAACACAGTGAAAATATCATGAGAATCAAAATGTCTTTATCTTGACCATGGACCTTGCTGAGCCTAACCCTTGGAGTTCAAGTCTGGAGCCTAGAAAGGATTATGCCAGGTATCGCAGAGCTTTGCAGTGCCCAGCTTAGAACCCTGGGCCTGGATCATCTGAGGGCTTCCCCAACCCCGTCTCCCTCCTTGTTGGCAAGCCGTCCCTCTCCAAGATTCCCTCCGCACAGGGTCACTGCAGATACCCAAGGCCCAGCCTGGAAGGAGCAAGCCAGTCTGGGAATGGGGACCAGCAGGGAGTTAACGAAACCATCTGATTCCCAAAGAGTGAGCAAGGCTGCTGGGGCAGGATGGGCGAGACTGGGCTAAGAGAGAAGGAATGCACACTGCACTCAGGGGCATTGATTTCTCTAATTGATTTCAGTCAGTGTTCTCAGTGCTTCATCATTCTCTTTAGAGGTAGGCACCAGCAGGAGGTGGGGATCTGGCTTGACTCTGCCTCTCCCCGGGGCATAGTAAAGAGACCTCTCTGCAGCCCCACCCATCCCTGGGAGCCCCCAAAGCCCCAGGGTAACCCATTAGAGAGGGAGAAACCTGCTGCTGCAGCAGCTCCTCGGAATGGGGGCGTGGGCAGAGCAGGGATGTGGATGGGAAGCTACTTCGACAGAAGCCATCAATACCACCTTGTGTGGATATAACACCTCCCGGCTACACAAAGCCCATTCCACATCCATGGTCTCAAGTCCTCACAGCATCCCTGGGAGGAAGGAGTGGTGGAATTAGCTTCCCTTTTCAAACTCACACCCATGGCACGGCCCAGGTCACAGCATAGCCAGCAAGTGACAGCCAGGACTAGAAGTAAGTCCTCCCACACCCAGATCCAGTGAGCTTTCCACTCCTGACCTGGCCTCTCTCATGGACCAAAAATGAAGCATCGGCCATCCTGCCACAGGGCCAAGTCTCTGCTACTTTGTCCCATAACAGAGGGTCATGGAGGTCAAGGAGAAAGCACTCAAGCCACTTTGTGGCCTCGTCTTTGTGTCATCCAAGGCAAACCTGGGAAGGGCTGTTTTCTCTGAATTCTTCTTTCACCAGAAAGCGCAGACTTCCCAAGAAAACTGTGAAACCTCGTTCCCCACCTGCCCCCTTCACAAGTCCCCGGTGGCAGCAGGAGCTGAGCTAGTAAACCGTCCTTCTGTTGAGCTATCGTAAGCCTAAAATAGCCTAGCTCGGTGTCTGGCCTCCCCACCACCACCCTGACGACACTGTGCTCCGTCTGTGGTTGGCACCATCCTGGCCACGCCCTAGCCTTGTCCTGATGCCAGTACTATGCTTGCAGACCCCAGCTGCCTCGAACAACCTCACAGCTTCTCTTCTGAGTACACACACATACCCACCCCAGCTCTCACACTGGCCATCTGCCAGGTTACCCAAGGTCAAGGCAGAATCACAGGAGAGGGGCAGTGGCAGTTTCTGCCAAGCTGTGGGGAGCCAGCTCCTGCTGCCTGGCACCCTCCAGGAGAGCCCTCAGCACCTGCACCCCACAGGAACCATGTCTTTATTTAGCCAGGCACTAGATCTGAGGCAGACTGCCATTAGAAGGGCCCAGCTCTGTCTCCAGGGCCTGGAAGGCAGCTCCCAAGGGACTTTGGACAGAAAATGGGAACCAGATTGTCCCTCTCTAAGGACATGTGCCTGTCCTGGGCCAAACCTAGGATTTGGCCAGATAAGCGCATTTACTGCATGTCCATCCTGTCACCCTGACCTCTCATTCTTGAAACTTCTTTTCCCATCATCAGGAACTTTCTCTCCTTATCCCACTGTCCCCATGCACTCCTGCTTTCCTGCTATCTTATCTCTCTTGCCAAAGCAGAAAATCCAGAGGGAGGGGCAATGTTTAA